CCAATTTTATTTTTTTTATTACTCCGGATCATCAGGTAACATTTATTTTATTTTATTTTATGAAAGGAAAAATGGGATTAGAAATTGATGGGTAGTGTTATTTTTATTTAATTTAACATTATTTTTTATTTAGTTTTATATAATGAGACAAGGTAGATTATAGGGAGGTTAATTTTATTTCTCTTAAGCATGCTTTATATTGGGGTTTTTAGTTTTAAACGTTTAACATTTTAATATTTATTATTTTTTTTTTTTAATAATAAATTTTAAGAATAAATTATTTTTTTAATTTTATTCATTATTTATTTTTTTTTATTTTTATGTATTTTTTTTTAAAAAAAAATTTTTTTTTTTTTTTTTTACCTAAGCTTTTTTTTAGCAGTCAGTTTATTTTTTTTTTTTTTTTTATTTCATTTTTTTTTTTTCGGTTTTTTTTTGAGCTGATAAATTTTCCACTGCATGCTCAATTTTCATAACATTTTTTTTTTTTTTTAAATGCTACATCGAATGAATAAGAGCACGGACACTGTTTCTCATACTATAAATGATATTTAATTCAGGGCTTCGCCTAAAGTCCGTTTTTTTTTTAGTTGATACTTCTGGTTTGTTAGTATTTATTTCATCTTTTCTCTTCTACCAACTCCTCGTCAATTTACTCCCCCTATATTTTCATTTCTTTTTAAAAGGAAGACAAAAAAACACGTCTCGCGTGCCGTCCACCGCCAAAGAACCTTTCTAAAGAAATTTATATTTATAAGTGGCAAACCTCCCCACAAAAGAGGGATGTGGCATTTAATATATTTACATGTCAAAAATAGATGGATGGTTTTATCACCGGCAATTTATCAATTAATTTTGGTTTATTTTAAATATACCCTATTTGAAAAACACCCTCACCCTCTTCTTTACTTCCACGTTACCCTTTGATCAATATGGATGCCGCTTCGAAAAAAAGGAATTCTAAAGGACTCATTTTTTAAAATAGATTTTGCATCAAATTTTGTTTTTTTTGGTTTTGAGATCAAGATATAAAAACCACTGAATTGCATCTACAAAATTTTTTAATCCATAAAGATCAACGTTGATTTGTTTGATTTGTTTGCATATAAATTAGAATGTTTTCAAATATTGTGTATATTCCTACATGAATAAAATTCTATATTTTAATATGGGTACCTCCAAAAATTTTCTAAAAAAGGTCATACCATTATGAAAAAGACTCTAAACTTGATAAAGACAGATTTATCGTCAAAATGTTTATGTTCTTAATAAGAGTCAAGACCAAAATATTTCTTGATTATTTTATTAACTGCTTAATCGTTTCTAGCACGTTGAACATTTTGGTTTTCTTTTTTCTTTTTTTTTATTTTAAAAAGATTAGTATGAGAAATTTAACATCTTTTTTTCAGTAAAAACACATTGTTTTGGAAATTTTTACAAAAATCAATTAATTGTCAAATTTTAATGAACTTTTCAGGACTTATTATTTTTAAAATATTGTTTTTTTAAAAAATTTTTAGAAAATATTTTTTTTTTTTTTTTTTACATCAAATTACTCCCACCTAATTAATTTTATGAAATTTTGAGAAATGAAAATTTCAGGAACTTCGTATTTTTTAGTTAAAAGCAGGACTCTTTGGAGAATTTAAATCATCAATTTGTTTTGTCAAACAGAAACACCATTTACCAAAAATCTGCTCTGAATCGTAAAATAAAAAATGCAATAAAACTATGATATTATTTAATTAGAAAAGCTTTTAATTGCTTTAATAAATAAGATATATTAAGGACACTATTGTCTGAAGAAAAGCAAATTTAATAAATGATGAATTTCACAAGAATTGTTTTAATTTATTTAAAATTTTAGTTAGACAAATTTATTCGGTTTTAAATCTTTTAAAATTCTGTATTAATTTTAGCGGTTTTGATGATATTATTATTAAATGAAAACTATATTTAGTCATCCTAAATGAAAAACTTAATACAAATCATCAAACACCAATATTTTAAAAATAATTTTGAATTGTTTTTATTAGTGCATAAATGTGCCGTTTTTTTGTAAGTACGGACGACCATACACGGCAATATCAGAAAATAAGAATGATGACGATAATAAATTTAAATTCAAAATTTCTAAAATTCAATAACACATTATATTACGGAGAATATTTTCCTAAATTTTGAAGATTGCAGAGTACTTAAAAATTGAATAAAAATACTTCTCACGTCATTTCTTTTTCAATTATATTTTAAATGTTCTGTCGAAAAACATTAAAACTGCCTTTAAATTGTCAAACACATCGATATAGCTACTGTCGGTTAAAATCACAGCTACTGTCGGGTTCAAATGCATTTCTGTGATATTTTAAACTTAACGTAAGTAATATTTGTTTCAAACCAGATTAATTATACTTTAAATCAGCTAATATTACTCAAATAAAGTTTCAGAAAATTATATTTTATTTTTGGAAGATATTTTATTAAAGAGAAATTAGTTTTTGAAATGCAGAAAATTATTTTGCTTATTTGAAATATTAAATGTAATCTATTAGCTTGAAATTAAAACTAAAATAAAAGCTTTAAAAAGAGTTCTCATTTTTAAACTTATTATCAAAGAGGATTGAGACAGGTGAGATCTAGCAAATCTGGTTGCATCGGCCTGTCAAATGCTTGGTCTGTCCAGGTCCGCCTTGGTTATACCAAAACAACTGGCACTAATTATTCTGTGTGTTTGGCCGTTGTCTAGATCTTTTAAATTTGTTTATACTATTTAGGGGAAAATTTGGGTGTTGTGTGTGTGGGGGGGGGTTAGTGGTCTTCAGTCTGGTTCCTCTTTCTCGTCCTTATCGCCATGTGTGGCCTAACAGTTGAAACGCCAGACGGCTTCGCTCTTAAGATTACTGAGACAAGCGAAGTCTTCATAAGAATCTGCCAGTTTATAAAGAAGAGACTCAGAAACTGATTCGAATTTTGAACGAAGTTAAAAGTTCTGCAATGGTTTAGTTTGGTTCGGTTTACGGCATATCAACCTAAATGCGTTATTTAATGCCGGCAACATTTTTATTTTTGGTAATATTTTTTTCAAATGTATTCCTGGTAAAAATTTTCCGTTCAGAATATTTATTTCTGCTAATATTTCTTCTTCAAAATGTAACAGCTGGTAATTTTTTTTTTCAAAAATGTATTGTTGTTAATAATGTATTGCTGGTAATATTTTTTCCTTCAAATATTTATTGCTGGTAATAGTTTTCCATCAAATATTTATTGTTGGCAATATTTTTTCCTTCAAATATTTATTGTTGGTAATATTTTTTCCTTCAAATATTTATTGCTGGTAATAGTTTTCCTTCAAATATTTATTGTTGGCAATATTTTTTCCTTCAAATATTTATTGTTGGCAATATTTTTTCCTTCAAATATTTATTGTTGGTAATATTTTTTCCTTCAAATATTTATTGCTGGTAATAGTTTTCCTTCAAATGTTTATTGCTGGTAATATTTTTTTACAAAGTATTTCTGGTTTGGTTTGGTTGGGTTTGGTTTGGTTTATGGCATATCAACCTCAATGGGTTATTTAATGCCTACAACAGTTTTATTGCCGGGAATATTTTTTTCAAAAAATGTATAGCAGGTAATATTTTTTTTCTAAAATATAGAAGTGGCAATAATGTATTGCTGGTAATAATTTTTTACAAAATAATTCTGCTATTAA